ACTCACAGGATGGGTTTGGGGTCCACTACCACTCACAGGATGGGTTTGGGGTTCACTACCACTCACAGGATGGGTTTGGGGTCCACTACCACTCACAGGATGGGTTTGGGGTTCACTACCACTCACAGGATGGGTTTGGGGTTCACTACCACTCACAGGATGGGTTTGGGGTCCACTACCACTCACAGGATGGGTTTGGGGTCCACTACCCCTCACAGGATGGGTTTGGGGTCCACTACCACTCACAGGATGGGTTTGGGGTCCACTACCACTCACAGGATGGGTTTGGGGTCCACTACCACTCACAGGATGGGTTTGGGGTCCACTACCACTCACAGGATGGGTTTGGGGTCCACTACCACTCACATGATGGGTTTGGGGTTCACTACCACTCACAGGATGGGTTTGGGGTCCACTACCACTCACAGGATGGGTTTGGGGTCCACTACCACTCACAGGATGGGTTTGGGGTCCACTACCACTCACAGGATGGGTTTTGGGTCCACTACCAATAACAGGATGGGTTTGGGGTCCAATACCACTCACAGGATGGGTTTGGGGTCCACTACCACTCACAGGATGGGTTTGGGGTCCACTACCACTCACAGGATGGGTTTGGGGTCCACTACCAATAACAGGATGGGTTTGGGGTCCACTACCAACAACAGGATGGGTTTGGAGTCCACTACCAATAACAGGATGGGTTTGGGGTCCACTACCACTCACAGGATGGGTTTGGGGTCCACTACCAACAACAGGATGGGTTTGGGGTCCACTACCAACAACAGGATGGGTATGGGGTCCCAAACCCCTAACAGGAAAGTCTCGGCGTACCCGGGACTGGCTATCGGAAGAGACGACTGACAGTAGAGGTGTTACGGAGGAGCGTAACCAGCGAGTTGCAAGAAGCCCCTAGCTGCCCAGGGTTCGCTACCCTGGTATTTGTTCGTGAAGAGTCCCAGCAGCACGAGGCTGATGTTCTCTGCCAGCACCAGGCTGGAGAGTGATTGTGGGTGTGCACGCAGAGCACCTAGTGAGACTGTGTTTTGGCTGGCCCGTGGCCAGGGTAGACTCGTGGCCAGGGTAGACTCGTGGCCAGGGTAGACTCGTTGGTGTTTCCCAGTACTGGTTGAGGACGGTACTGTGTTGAGGAAACACGGTAGCTGACAAGACTGCATCTATTGAGCATCGAATAGCACTTAGTGTCCTATGAGAGAGACTTGTGTACATATTAAGTGTAGTAATACTTCTTCTAGGATTATATATGAAGTGATAGGAAAGTGATTATAACTGAATATATTGATAATTAATGAAGTGTAGTATTCAATGCACCTCCCACAGTGTGTTTTACTTACATTACCGAGCTCATTCCTTGAAAGCCACTACTAACTTGGGGTTGGATACCAGAACTTTAGTACCACCAGAAAAGAACCCGGTTGCGACCCATTGTGGCCGTAACAAGTACATATATGACTTATTGCTTAGTCACTATTTGGCTGATTAATAAGTACATATGTGGTATATGCCAAGTTATATTTTATTTTTTAAGGTACAAACTCTTCCAGTTTTAAACACCAGTTTTAATATTAGGATTTTTTTCAGTTTTATTAAATAATAGAGATTTATAGAATATTTGACAATACTCTGAGTTACTTTACTATTTAAATATTTTGGTTTTGTGTTATTATTTTTATAAAACTGTAATATCAATATAGGTTTAGGTTAAGTACTAATTGTAATTAAGAAGCAATAAGATGCTTATCTTAACATACTAAGAAGGTTAGGTCAGGTCGGTGTTTTCTATTCAGCTTTTCACGGTAAACTAAAATATTCACAGTATATTAGTATGATCATCATAAACAATGGTATAAAACCTCAACAGCAACAAAAAAAAGAGAAAAATATTCGTCGCGACGACCGCTAGCACCAGCGGATAAAGCGTCGCTTTTGAATGAATGAATAAATGAATGAATAAATGAATGAATTGGGAAAGAATGGAAGGAAAAAAATATCTAACTGAAAATGAGTGGCAAGGAAATGAGAGAGGAAGGAAGAAAGATGGAAGGAACGAAGGCTCTATGGTTTAGCGTTGAACGACTTCGAACTTCGACTGTCAAGTGTATATCTCGAGTTCGAATCCCAGCTCTGACCAACACATACCCCCCAGGTGACCAGCGTATTACACAGAGTGGGTATGATCTCTTAGCGTTATACTGTAAACATATCTTGCTAAGAAACTCAACCTTCCTTGTTTACCTCATCGCTAAAGATTTGGTTGTGTGATAAGATCGTCACTGATGGCCGCTCCGAGACTCTTGTCGTCGTTGTGGTCTGGGCAAGTGCATACTCCCACATTTTGAACACATATTTGACTTCATTTCACCAAAATTGTTTTAACTTAGACATGTCAATATTAGTCATATGTCTCTGACCACTTGGGGAGCGAGGGAACGAAAGGAGAGAGGGAGACAGAAAGGGATGTTTTGAGGGAGGAAGCGATAGAGCAAGGTAAGGAAGGTGATAAGGAGAGAGGTGATAAGGAGGGAGAGAGGGAAGGAAGGGGCTAGCGATGTAGGAAGATATTGAGGAAGGGAGGGATAGAAGCAATGAGGGTAAAGAGGGAGACAGACTCCTCTAGTAAGAAAGGGATAAAGATGCAACAGTTGACACAACATCTGTGCCTAGGAAGCCCCCCTCCCCCCTAAGATGTATACACAGATCCAGCCTCCAGCGCCGCCTACACCGTCACAACACATGCAGGAAACAAAGGAATGAAAGAAAAGGAAGGAAGGAAGGAAGGAAGGAAGGAAGGAAGGAAGGAAGGAAGGAAGGAAGGAAAGAAGGAAGGAAGGAAGGAAGGAAGGAAGGAAGGAAGGAAGGAAGGAAGGAAGGAAGGAAGGAAGGAAAGAAGGAAGGAATGAAGGAAGGAAGAAAGGAAGGAAGGAAGGAAGGAAGGAAGGAAGGAAGGAAGGAAGGAAGGAAGGAAGGAAGGAAGGAAGGAAGGAAGGAAGGAAGGAAGGAAGTGAAGGTTGGGCACGCCCGTGGCCAAGAGCAAGGAGACAGCGGGGGTTTATCAAGAGTATAATACGTGGAGCCTCGGGCGGAGCATCTGCGAAATATCTTGACTACCTTATTTATGTGACCCATTCCCAGACTATAAAGAGGCGGGAAGGTCGGGTCTCCGGAGGCACGCCAGAATTAGACGGGTGGCTCACCATTATATGGAAATTTTATGCCTCTTATTACTGCCGAATTATATGGAAAAACTAAATTGTCTGGATAAGCTTAAGAGAGACTCCGGACTCAGGACTATTTGAACTGACATAAACGCATACACACGCGCGTGTGCACAGGCATTTAGACACTTGTGCAAGGAATCATTCAGAACTTTGTATACCACCTATGTCAGACCAATCCTGGAGTATGCAGCCCCCAGCATGGAATCCATATCTAGTCAAGCATAAGACCAAACTGGAAAAAGTTCAAAGGTTTGCCACCAGACTAGTACCCGGGCTGAGAGGTATGAGCTATGAGGAGAGACTACGGGAATTAAACCTCACGTCGCTAGAAGACAGAAGAGTTAGGGGGGATATGATCACCACGTACAAGATTCTCAGAGGAATTGACAGGGTAGATAAAGACAGGCTATTTAACACAAGGGGCACACGCACTAGGGGTACACAGGTGGAAACTGAGTGCCCAAATGAGCCACAGAGATATTAGAAATAATTTTTTTTAGTGTCAGAGTAGTTGACAAATGGAATGCATTAGGCAGTGATGTGATGGAGGCTGACTCCATACACAGTTTCAAGTGTAGATATGATAGAGCCTAATAGGCTCAGGAACCTGTACACCTGTTGATTGACAGTTGAGAGGCGGAACCAAAGAGCCAGAGCTCAACCCCCGCAAGCACAACTAGGTAAGTACAATTAGGTAAGTACACCTTTGAGAAGGTGGTGGAGGCCAAAACCGTCAGTAATTTCAAAGCGTTATACGACAAAGAGTGCTGGGAAGACGTGACACCACGAGCGTAGCTCTCATCCTGTAACTACACTTAGGTAAGTAAACTCACGCAAACACATACTATACGAGCACGTAGAAGCCAGTAACAGTCTCAAAAGATACAATAGTTGAATACTAGGTCAAGAGTCATTGCAATATTAAAGTGGCTGTTAAAGTGGGGTCCAAGGACTGAAGCTCGGGCCTGCACACGAACAGTTGGGTAAAGACAAGAACAAACTGGAAAGAATGCACCACACAGGAGACTAGTGCAGCACCACACAGGAGACCAGTGCAGCACCACACAGGAGACTAGTGCAGCACCACACAGGAGACTAGTGCAGCACCACACAGGAGACTAGTGCAGCACCACACAGGAGACTAGTGCAGCACCACACAGGAGACTAGTGCAGCACCACACAGGAGACTAGTGCAGCACCACACAGGAGACTAGTGCAGCACCACACAGGAGACTAGTGCAGCACCACACAGGAGACTAGTGCAGCACCACACAGGAGACCAGTGCAGCACCACACAGGAGACCAGTGCAGCACCACACAGGAGACCAGTGCAGCACCACACAGGAGACTAGTGCAGCACCACACAGGAGACTAGTGCAGCACCACACAGGAGACCAGTGCAGCACCACACAGGAGACTAGTGCAGCACCACACAGGAGACTAGTGCAGCACCACACAGGAGACCAGTGCAGCACCACACAGGAGACTAGTGCAGCACCACACAGGAGACCAGTGCAGCACCACACAGGAGACTAGTGCAGCACCACACAGGAGACTAGTGCAGCACCACACAGGAGACCAGTGCAGCACCACACAGCAGACTAGTGCAGCACCACACAGGAGACTAGTGCAGCACCACACAGGAGACTAGTGCAGCACCACACAGGAGACCAGTGCACTGCAGGCTGTAATGGAGAATCTAAGCACCTCAAGACTCAAGACTCGACTTCACGACGAAAGAAGAGACTTCAGAGTGACGAGATGTTCCCAAAGCCGTTCCACGGGTCAGTGCCAGGGTGATCTGGACTCACTGGAAGACTTTTATCAAGTGGCTACTAGAGTTTAATTCGAGCTAGTGCAATGAAGCTGACAGAAGGAAACAGTACCAAATGGGAGAGGAAATTCCCTTAGGGAGCTGAGTAGATACGAACACCTGGGGGATTGTTATAACATATGAAGCCTGTCTCCCGAAGCCAAGGCCACACGGATATCATCAGAGGTTTACGTAAAGTTGGCTAACACACGTAAGCTGTCGTTAGGAATCTGTATTCCTAATATATCAAATCAATTCGGAATTATGCAACACCATCGTGTAGTCTTTCAAGACAGTGAAGGTGGAGAAGGTGTACACGTGTGCCACAACACCGTCCAGCACCTGAGATTATCTTGAGATTATCTTGAGATGATTTCGGGGCTTTAGTGTCCCCGCGGCCCGGTCCTCGACCAGGCCTCCACCCCCAGGAAGCAGCCCGTGACAGCTGACTTAACTCCCAGGTACCTATTTACTGCTAGGTAACAGGGGCATTCAGGGTGAAAGAAACTTTGCCCATTTGTTTCTGCCTCGTGTGGGAATCTAACCCGCGCCACAGAATTACGAGTCCCGCGCGCTATCCACCAGGCTACGAGGCCCCTACCTGGATGACAAAGAGACGGGAAATGCATAACCACACGATAACTCTCGGGGTAATGTATGGGACAGACAAGGGCAGAGTATACGGCATGGTGCTACACGGAGGGAGGGACAGTGGAGGAGGGACAGTGGAGGGAGGGACACTGGAGGAGGGAGGGACACTGGAGGAGGGAGGGACACTGGAGGAGGGAGGGACACTGGAGGAGGGAGGGACACTGGAGGAGGGAGGGACACTGGAGGAGGGAGGGACACTGGAGGAGGGAGGGACACTGGAGGAGGGAGGGACACTGGAGGAGGGAGGGACACTGGAGGAGGGAGGGACACTGGAGGGACTGTGGAAACAACTTTAGATCTGACCTGATTTTCTCCTACCAATTTGCCAAAAGTTTCCTGGAGACGCAACATTCCTTAACCAAGCACGTTAACTGAGGTAACCTTGTCTGCGTGAACCCAAAACAAACTCCCCAGAAATAACGGAGACTAACAAATATAAATAACAGTAATGAGAACCACAATGACAAGAATACCAGGGAAGGTGAAGAACCTCAAGAACAGGGGGCGCCACATAGGCCACCAAGAACCTCAAGAACAGGGGGCGCCACATCGGCCACCAAGAACCTCAAGAACAGGGGGCGCCAAATAGGCCACCAAGAACTTCAAGAACAGGGGGCGCCAAATAGGCCACCAAGAACCTCAAGAACAGGGGGCGCCACATCGGCCACCAGGAACCTCAAGAACAGGGGGCGCCACATCGGCCACCAAGAACCTCAAGAACAGGGGGCGCCACATCGGCCACCAAGAACCTCAAGAACAGGGGGCGCCACATCGGCCACCAAGAACCTCAAGAACAGGGGGCGCCACATCGGCCACCAAGAACCTCAAGAACAGGGGGCGCCACATCGGCCACCAAGAACCTCAAGAACAGGGGGCGCCACATCGGCCACCAAGAACCTCAAGAACAGGGGGCGCCACATCGGCCACCAAGAACCTCAAGAACAGGGGGCGCCACATCGGCCACCAAGAACCTCAAGAACAGGGGCGCCACATCGGCCACCAAGAACCTCAAGAACAGGGGGCGCCACATCGGCCACCAAGAACCTCAAGAACAGGGGGCGCCACATCGGCCACCAAGAACCTCAAGAACAGGGGGCGCCAAATAGGCCACCAAGAACCTCAAGAACAGGGGGCGCCACATCGGCCACCAAGAACCTCAAGAACAGGGGGCGCCAAATAGGCCACCAAGAACTTCAAGAACAGGGGCGCCAAATAGGCCACCAAGAACGTCAAGAACAGGGGCGCCACATCGGCCACCAGGAACCTCAAGAACAGGGGGCGCCACATCGGCCACCAAGAACCTCAAGAACAGGGGGCGCCACATCGGCCACCAAGAACCTCAAGAACAGGGGGCGCCAAATAGGCCACCAAGAACCTCAAGAACAGGGGGCGCCACATCGGCCACCAAGAACCTCAAGAACAGGGGGCGCCACATCGGCCACCAAGAACCTCAAGAACAGGGGGCGCCACATCGGCCACCAGGAACCTCAAGAACAGGGGGCGCCACATCGGCCACCAAGAACAAGAGAACAGAGGCGGCGCACCGACCCAATTTGAGAAGCGGCGGTGTTTATTCCAGCAGTCGTGACTTTTATCAAGTTAATTTAGCTGCTAAAGCAAACAGACGTGCGCCAGAGCCCCCGCCAAATTACCGGAACGCCCTGGCTGCTTACCCTGACACCCTACCTCTCCTCCCCTCTCGCCATTCCCCCTACACTGGGGGAGAGAGGGGGTAAGAGGGCCTTCCCCTCTCTCTCTGGGACCGGAGTTTATGGAGTACAGCTTGAAGGGGCAATTCTTACCACTCTCCAGTCAAAGAAGTTTCTTTTTTCTTGCCCCTCGACACCCGAGGATCGAGGTTGTGGAGTAAGGCAAAGACGTTGTTTTCCTCCTGGTTTAGTGTTTTCATGACAGACCAAGGAGATTTGTTCTACTTCATAGCGGAATAATGGAGGAACGGCAGAAGGCCTGTTTAACCCCGTGCGAGGCAGCTCTAATTATGGCCAACCGCACCCACTCATATGTGATGGATGGCCAACCGGTACTTGAAACAGTCCAACATCAATTACTGCCCGGCAACCGGTTCCACAGCCTAATTTCTAAACCCACTTTTACCCATTTCCAAATCTAAACTTATCCCATGGGGATAAGTTTAGATTTGGAAATAAAAAATTAAAAGGTATTTTACAGATTCCTGAGCCTATTGGGCTCTATCATATCTACATTTGAAACTGTGTATGGATTCAGCCTCCACCACATCACTTCCTAGTGCATTCCATCCGTTAACTACTCTGACACTGACAAAGTTCCTTCTAACGTCTCTGTGGCTCATGTGGGTACTCAGTTTCCACCTGTGTCCCCTTGTTCGCGTACCACCAGTGTTGAATAGTTTATCCCTGTTTACCCGGTCGATTTCTCTGAGGATTTTATAGGTTGTGATCATGTCTCCCGTTACTCTTCTGTCTTCCAGTGTCGCAAGGTGTGTGTGCGTGTGTGTGTGTGTGTGTGTGTGTGTGTGTGTGTGTGTGTGTGTGTGTGTGTGTGTGTGTGTGTGTGTGTGTGTGTGTGTGAGCTTGATCTCTTTTGCCCGGGAGCTGGCGGGTGTTTGTAAGGTTTTCTTCGTGTATTTCAACATATATTCTTGTCCATATATGAACACTGTATAGCATTTACCCATTCACACTCAGATGTATTGTGGACTTAATTGCCCTCAAGTAGATCCAAGCTCTTGGGCCACCAGCTGCGGGAGCGCCTCATCTTGGAGCAGTCTTTAGTTTTGGGTCTTCTAGCATCTGGGTTAAACTCCAGACCGTGCAGGTGGCTTGCTAACGTTGTAGTCTGATGTTTAGTGCTTGTCTGTTCACCAGTTCCTGAATTGTTGGGTCATGTGGTGCACGCTGCTCTTATTTTGCTCTTCTTAGTTCATTGTTTTTACACAGCTTGTCATTTTTGTATGTTAGTTTTGTTTTGTTACTGGAGGGGCTGCGGCCTTGTGTAAGTGTCGTTGAATGCAGGCGATGAGTCACAATAACGTGGCTGAAGTATGTTGACCAGACCACACACTAGAAATTGAAGGGACGACGACGTTTCGGTCCGTCCTGGACCATTCTCAAGTCGATTGTCGTTGAATGTTTGGGCCAAAGTTATAGAATCATCTTAGTATGTAACCAACCTTAGTATGTCTAAGGTTGTTTTTCATTTATATATTCTGTCAATTAAGTGAATTTTGATTCCAGTCCTGTTGACCTTGGGTCTCCGTGTTCTGCCTATATTCATATGATGGATATAGTTGTTGTCAAGGACAATGGGATTTGGGTTTTGTTGTGAATACGTATTATTTTGAACTTTCGTTTGTACATATTTTCCCCACTGCTTTTCAAAGTAATTTACGAATACTACTGTCGATTTTTTTGTTGGCCACTAACAACTTTGATAATCCTAAATGACAGATTATTTGAGTTACGTCATCCGCATAAGTGATGTTGAGGAGGGGGGGGGGAGGTAAACTGTACACATGTTCAATAATAAGAATGTATACATGTATATATAACATTAATAGTTTTGTAACTAGCGTCAAAAAATTGTTATTTGCTTAGCTAAACGAACTAGAGGGTTCAGTTCCTGAACCGATTATGTGCCTCTGTAATCCTTTACACCACCGCCCACGGGATGGGTATGGGGTGCATAATAAAGAAATTGAATTGTTGAAGAGAGTGGGTTATAGCAAGCTTCCCTGTCGTACTCCACTGTTCAGTTCCATCACGTCCCCTGAGTAGCTGCCAATACTGAGCTTAGCTCTTCTTTTGTTTATAAAGCTCCCACAGTGTAGGAGTATAAGCCTCCGTGGAAGTTCTAATTCGGATATATGGTATTTTTGGTCTGAGAACTATATTACACTGCTCCTTTTTCGTCGTGGCGTCCTGCCAATGTACCAGATAAATGAGAAGGGTTGGCGACGTCTCCCAGGGTGGGAGAGAGGGTGGGAGTTGTTGCGTGAAGGAAGGTGGGGAGTAGCCTGGGAGGGGAGGCGTGGGAGGGGGTGATGGGGGAGGAAGGAGGTAAGGTGGGGCGGAATGAGACACTGGGGAGGACAGGAGATGACCCGCCTCGCGCTGATGAAAATTGGTCCTCTGTAAAAAAGTCAAACTGTGGCACACACACACACACACACACACACACCACACATACATACACACACACACACACACACACACACACACACACACACACACACACACACACACACACACACACACACACACACCACACATACATACACACACACACACACACACACACACACACACACACACACACACACACACACACACACACACACACACGCACACGCATACACACACACACACACACACACACACACACACACACACACACACACACACACCACACACACACACACACACACACCACACACACACACACACACACACACACACACACACACACACACACACACTTATGTGAATTGTAACCATTTAACAGACTGGGCCAATTCAAGCAAAATTGTGCATTCTAAATCAATTACTTAAAAAAATATTACTGAATCTTAATTTATAAAAAGTAGTGAATTAGATAATATTTCAAGTCCAGGATTATATAAATTAGATAACTTTATAATTCGATTTGTGGTAGGTGTAATAAAAACCACTGCTAATGTTCACATTACATGATTTTGTAATCTGTAATAAAGCCAATTTACTAATACTTTGTTTATTCACTTTCAGAAAGTTCTCACCAAATTGATTGGGAGATGGCTCCTTCAATAAAGAAATTTAAAAGTACTTTCAATACGAACATTTTGTAATCTGTATTATAGCAGATTCAATAATCATGTCATTTGACAACCCGTTCTCGCACTTGCTTATAGTCAATATTGGCTTATTTAATAAGTGCATATGTGACATACTAATTGATTGTGAATATTTTAGTTTACCTTGAAAAGCTCCATAGAAAACACCGACCTCACCTAACCTTCTTAGTATGTTAAGATAAGCATCTTATTGCTTCTTAATTACAATTATTACTTAACCTATACCGTTGATAGGTTAAGAAATAATTGTAAATGGTTTGTATAATTTAGATCCATTTTTGATTGATCAGTTTAAAGGGCGATTTGAATAGTATCACTGATATACATTAATCTCATTAATACCTTATTAATATCCCATCATCTCATTAAAGACATTGTACCTCACCTCACCTCTCTCGTGCCTATATTTCCATACCCACTGAACACTAAATTCATCCTTCTAAAGATGTATTATTAAATACGAAAGTACTTAAGGAAATTCCTGTCTTAATCCATCCATCGTGGTCTGACAATGTCATACTATATATATATATATATATATATATATATATATATATATATATATATATATATATATATATATATATATATATATATATATATATATATATATTACCAGGGCTCGCACTGTCGTCAAGAGACGGATCCGATAACACAAGAAGCCAAGTCATACTTTACTATTCCACGGGGACATTGTACTACGAATTTAAGGTCAGGTGGCTCGGAATGGTAATTAGGCTTAATTAAGCAGCGTTCAACTGTAAGCCAAGTCTTTCAGTTTCTCAACGCTTTGGGGGAGGGGAAGGAGATGGGGGGGGGTAGGCGTTGAACCCCCCCTCCTAACACCACCTTCATGGAGGGTGCGGTCTAAATGGATTGTGTTCTTGAACTGGAACAAGCAAGAACACTGGATTGTAAGTCATGCATGTAAGTGACGTTAATATCGGGTTAAGTGACGTTAATATCGGGTTAAGTGACGTTAATATCGGGTTAAGTGGCGTTAATAACGGGCAAGTGGCGTTAATACTGTGTATTAACACCTGAATACTCTCAATGTATATTAAACCTGTTCGCGTAGAGATAATCTGAATATATCCTGACATACAAGGCGAAGAGGGAGGGAATTATCAGGGGGAAAGCGCCAAGCCATGACGACTATGTAGCATTTGGAAAGGGATCAGGATAATGATTTGGGATGAGACGGGGGGAGGAATGGTGCCGAACCACTTGGACGGTGGGGGATAGTACGCCGACCTGCATGGAAGCGAAACTGTTGTTCTACCGTCCAGCCCAAGTGGTTGGACTGGATGGCGAAGAGGAAGAGATGATTTAATGCCATATTTTACAATTATAAGTCGGAATTTCACTTATAACAAGAGTCACTTATATTTCACTTATAACAAGCGTCACTTATAACAAGGGTCACTTATATTTCACTTATAACAAGGGTCTCGTAATCTAGTTAGCTCCGTTCTCGACTCACAATTGGGAATCCGGGGTTCGATTTCCGGGCGAGACAGATATGGTTGGGAATGTTTCTTCTCACCTAATACCGCTGTTTACCGAGCAATACATAGGCACCCGGTACATAGGTAACTGTCGTTGGGTTGCGTCCTGGGCACGGACAGTAGTTCGTCCTAGTGGCACCTAGATACAAGCCTAAAATAAATATATATATACACAGGCTTCCGGTCCCCCGACAAAATGAGTGGCAGCCTGGCGTAGT